CGGACTCTCAACCACTGTGCCACCAGGGAAGCCCCGTGTTTGCGTTATTGACCTTACATTCTAATGAGGAGATAAGAAATTATTAAACAAAATAAATAAGCTAGGGAAAGGAGAACAGAAGTAATCTGAGGAGGTTTTTCCTAGGAAATGACATTTAAGCAAATACTTCAATTAAGTGAGAGTGTGAGCCCTAAAGACTTGGGAACAGAGGGTTCCGTACAGTTTGAATGGAACATGGAAAACCTCTGAAGTGAGACTCAATGAAGGTCTTCCAGAAACATCTAGAAGCCAGTGCAGTTCAAGCAATGAATGAGGTAAAGAGTACTGAGTGTAAGATCAGAGATAGACAGGGGATGATCAAATAGACTACAGGAAGGTTGTTCAATAAATAGCAGAGTTCTCCTTATCATATGTTAATATTAACTAATCATAACACAATACCTAATGCACTGTTTTAATAAGTTATTATTATAGAATGCTGTATACCTATGCTTGTGTCTTGTAGAAATAAAAACTGTTTAGAATTATATAACAATTTATAGTTAACTAGGTGCTTTCTTACCTATTTTGTTTAATTTGATTCTCAAAAGAGCCCTGTGAGTGGGTATTGTGTTGAGAGACCAAGAGATGCCAAAAAATATACGCAAGACTAATCACTGATAAGTGGAGTAAACAGAGCCAAATGCAAATCTTCAGACAACTATTCATTAAAGAAAATATTAGTTGAGTATCAAATATAGGCACTGTGCTAGGAGCCAGGGATTCTTAGTTGAAAAGATAAAGCACCTGCCCTCAAGGATGACAGAAGCCCAGATGATTTTAATACAATTAGACAGTTGCTTTAATGGCCTATGTAGAAAATCCAACACTTAGATCAATGGTTGGAGCACTGGCCAATTTGATTGGAGTAAGTCTAGGAAGACAGTGATTGAACTAAAATTGGAGAGATGACAAGAAATTTTTCAAAGAGGTCACGCTATGTGAAGAAAATTGAAACTCTACATCCAGTTCCCCCAAAACTGCCAGGAAAATACCCAATCCCACTCTTGTTAAAAAACAAACAAACAGAGAAGCTAGAGGAGCCAGAAGGACTCTAGAATTGAGGAGCTAGAGTCAGCTGAGAGTGCATCACTCAAAAAACAGGGGTTAAGTGAGGGTCTGTCTACATGCTGAGCACCCACCATTGCCCACCACTTTCTTTTTATTCTCCTAATCCTTGCAGTGAGCTTCTGTCTTTAGGCATGAGACTAAAAGGTTTCTGAGAAACTAAAGGCCGAAGAGAAATGACTTTTAGGTAGTGATCTTCAGGATCTTCCAGTGCAATGGCCAGAAACTAGCCTGATGATAACTCTCTAGGGAGGCACACCACTGCCACAAGCCACCTGAACACACAATCATCTTTCAAATGTCTCATTATTAGATATGGATGGATGGCCATGAACCACCAGACCTCCGAGGACACACTCTACCATGAAAGACAAAGAACAAAAAGCCAACAAGCCAACCAGAGGAAATCATGAGCAACATAATGTAGGGAGTAGAGCACAGGGTTTTTTAAAATACAAATACTACCAAAGAGAAATACTGCACCCATGAAACAAAAGTAGAGTTCAAAAAATAAGGGTGCTCAGTTATAATTAAGTATAAAGTAGAAATAAAATATGTTAGCAGGAAAAAAAATAAAAATGTAAAGGAAAACTTAAAATGAAAAAAAAAAAAGACTTTAGAGGCTCAGCTGGGGAGTCCAATATTTATATAAGAATAACAAGGGAAGAGACCAGAGATACTGGAGAGGAAGAAATTGGCAAACAAATAATAATAGAAAATTCCCTAAAACTGAAGACCATACATTTTCAGACTGAACAGACTCACATAAATGCCTAGTACAATTAATAAAGAAAGATCCACACCAAGGTTCATCTTTGATTGAATCCTGAGAATAAAGATAAGATCTCAAAAGTTTGAGAGAAAGAGACAGATCACTTGCAAAAGAATGCAAATTTTAAGTAAAATATTAATTGCATGCAACTTCCCCAAGGTTAACCTGGAAAGCTAGAAAAAATTGAGCAAGGTCTAGAAAATTCTGAAGAAAAACTTATTCACAATTTATAACTCTGTACCATGGAATTTATCTAAGTGTACGGATAAGATAGAAATATAGTATATACTTAACTAAAAAGGTAATGCAAGAGCTCAAAAACTTGACTTTCTGGGCACCTTTCTCAAGAGTCACTGGAGAATATGCCACCAAAATATAGAGATAAACCAAGAAAGAGGAATCTTTGGTTCAAGGAAACGTTGAATCTGACACAGGAGAGAGGAGAGTTGCATGCCCGGGATGATGGTGACAGAGATGTCCAGGCTGATAGCTATACAGAAGGCAAAGGGTAGACCATCCAGACAGGATCAAGTGCACAGAGGCCTAAAAAGGATGTCTCCAGAACATTAATTTAGCTGATAATCTTATGTATTTGAATGTTTTATAAGGAGATTTATAGTCCTGTCAGAAAGTTTGGGGACTAATTAGTAATGGATAAATAGAAATCTAAGCAAGCTAAATTAAGGGAATTTACTAACACCAGGAAAATTGTTCAGCCTCATGATTCAGCTGTGTATAACATATTGGAAACTGATTTAACCCAAAATTTGATGAAGCATGGGAGGATGAATAGTTGGGTGAGTGTGTGGATCACAGGGGAAGACATGTATAAGAAAATTAAATCCACATTTTCTATAGATGAAGGCAATAGATCATATCTATTTTTTTAAAGCTTAAAAAATAAGAGGAGTTATTAAGTTTGGGGTGAAGGAGATAGAGGGTCAATGGAAAATGCTTTCCCATTTTGTAGGAAGCCAGGAACTTCAGCCTATTTGTTAGCTGAGACACTGGGACCAATGTGGAGAGATCCAGGAAAGTTGAGGTAATGGACAAAGCTTAATTTCTTGGGAGGTAGTTGGGGGAGGAATTCAGAGAATAGCATCGGGCAGGAGAGTATCTTAGCTGTGGAAGAATGGATTCTGGAGAAAGACTGTGGGTATGAAACTTTGTTCTACCAGTTGTTACTGAGTGACCATGGGCAAGGCATTTAATCTTTCAGAGTCTCAGTATCCTCATCTGTGAAATGGAGATAACAGTACATACCTCATAGGATTCTTGTGAGAATTAAAGTAAATAACTTAGAACAAAGCGTGTTTCCATATAAGCATTATTAAAGTATTGGTTGCTATAATTATTATCATTTTATTATCTGTATTATTATAACAACTATAATTAATATTCCTCTAAAGTAATGAAGTATATACTAGTTGGTGAAGTTGCAATTATCAGGGAATCAGGAAGTGGAAGGTGTTACATATGAAATAACTTCGATTTTCCTAGAGAATAAAATGGTATCCAAATTTTATTCTCAGAGGGAAGCAATGGATTGGGTAAATGTATTGTCAGAGGAAAGAGATGAAATTTCAGAGTGGTCATTACTTTGAATGGGAAAAGAATTTGAACAGAGAAGAAGATCAAGGACAATCAAGTTTTCTCATTAAGTATGGTGAAGAACTCTTGTGTAAATGTGTGTTTTGTTTTGTTGCTGTGTCAGAGATGGGCGAAGTGGGTTGCCCTTGGCACCTCCAGCTGCCAAAACATTCCACTGACAAAAACTGTAGGAAAACCATGAGACCATGTAAAAGAACAATGTTTGTTTTCTAGTATCAAAAGGTCATTTGCATTTAGCATCTGAAAATATCTGAATTTAGTTTCCATTCTTAAAATATTTCACACCTTCTTTTTCCCTCAACACAATGCCCACAATTGTTTAGGTTTGAGCTACTATTTACTTGCAATTTCTATACATTTCGTTTCTCTCTACATCAGATGTCTGTTTTTACAGTGACACATTTGTACTGTATGGAAGCATATAGAGTGGCCCCTCGATATTCACAGGGGATTGATTCCAGGACCCCTGCGCATTCCGAAATCTGTGGATACTCAAGTTACTTTCGTAAAATGGAGTAGTATTTGCATATAACCTATGCACATCCTTTTGTATACTTTAAATCATCTCTAGATTACTTATAAAACTCAATACAATGTAAATGCTATGTAAATAGTTGACAGGCTGCAGTAAATTCAAGTTTTGCTTTTTGGAACTTTCTGGAATTTTTTCCCTTGAATATTTTCCATTTGTGTTTGGTTGAATTCATGGATGTGGAACCTGTGGATACGGAGGGCTGACTATATGTTCTTTTAATCCCCTGTTTCACATAAACATGCAAATACAATTGCCCAGCTTCAAGGTTCTCCAAATAGAGTTTCTGAGGCACTTTAACTATATACTAAGATTGAAATTCAGTTGAAAGCCCAATAAACCATTAACTGTAAAAATGCAGCAAACAATATGATTTTGAGTTTCCCCTTCACTTTTAGGTCTATAAAACCCCTAAATATTTAGCTATTTCTAATCATTTATTTTTTATTGTACAGTTTTAATTATACATGAGTTTGAAAAAAGATTTAGAATAACAATAAAAGAGTAAAGTGGTCTCAGATGATTTCTTTATGAAATATTATGAACTTCTCTATGATTTTATTTTAATCAGCACCCAAATCCCTGCAAGTATTATTTTATATGACAATTAACCAAACACCTCCCTCATTATACAAGTAACATTTATCTCTTTAATACTTTTTTATAACTTCTTCCTTGAAGGGCTGGAGACTTCCAAAATGAACAATGTACTTAAAAATAAAACTAAAACGTAGCTTAATTTCAGTTAATCAAATACATAAAATTCTTTGGTATTTATTGTAAAATTTAAAGAGCACTGAAAGTACAAAAATATTTTATAGAAAAATTAGTTGAAACCTCTTTACTCTTTTATTTCAATTTTGAATTTGCATTTTTAAACTCAAGTACTCACATACAATTAAAGTGACTACAAAAAACAGGTTCATTTCTCTGAATGCTTCACAATTATAATCAATAGTCAACAGAAACACAACTTACCTTTATGTGATTTAATGTAAATGTTATTTTTTCAAGTTCATACAATGTGGGTGGGTTTGAGCTAATTGAGACTGAAATTACTGAAGAGATGACTCTTCCCTCCTCTTCAGCTTTATCATAACTTTGAGGTTCCAGTAAGATGTTGTCAGACGATGAAAATAGAGGACCAATACTCTTATAATATAAAAATGCAACTGCAACACTGCCTGTCAATCAAATAAGTGTATTCAGTGAAATTCTTAAAATAAACATAAAAATTGACCAAAGGGAGTCATACATATTCCAAGATACTGAAATGTGGGTCATGATATATCTATGCTTACATCATCCAACCATATTAAGACATATTCCCTGACCTCTGTGACTCTGAAACTGATTGTGGACTGTAGCATTCCCTCGGCACAGACTATATTTAGGAGAAAAATAGTCCTAACTAAATTTACATCCAAGTGCTGACTAAGAACAAAGGAGTAAAGTATATTCACTTGAAAAATAAAATTTTGACTTACTACTTTGCTGGGCAAATATATGAAATAGAAAGATATTGGGAGAAAATTATCACAGATTTACAGTATTAAGAAAGTTTAGAATTGAAAAAGTTGTGAGATGCCACTGAGTTCAACCTCATGCCCACTGAAATGCTTCCTCTTTAAATTCATGACATACAGTTATGCCGACACAGCATAGGGAATTTATTGCCTTTCGAGGCAGCCATTTATCTGAACCCCTGACAGTCCCCAAATGCAGCACATCAGCACATAACCAGATACTAGAAATGTTACCTGATCAGTACAGACTATCACATGCCTATTTTTCCCTTAGCCTGGACACTACACCTATTTTAACGGATCTCAAATTGCCTTGGTTTTTGAGATCATTATCAGCAGCTCATTATCACTGATATTAAGCGTGTATGAACAACTCAACATGGACAAATATTATCTTTTAAAATTCCTGTTGTCACTTAGGTCACATTCCTTCTCTGTTGTACAGAATTACGACAGCAAATTGAGGAATTTATATTCAGAATTTACTCTAGGAATTAGAAGTTCTGGTTTCTCCTACTTGTGTGTCCCTGGGTAAACTTGAGTTTCTCATGTATAACATGATGGTAGTGATATTCCCTCTGGCTATTTACTAGGATAAGGTGGAGACCAAATGAAATTATAGGAGAGAAACTTCTGTAAAATTTAAGATACTATACTAGTATGATTATTGTTATACTTATTAACTAGAAATGTTATATGTTTGCTTTAGATACTTGGACAAATTAGGAAGAACTCTATCATATTCATTTTCCCTCAAATCTGTGACACCAGCAAATAATTTGAAAAGCATAAATTAATCAAAATCATTAATACAAATGTTGATAATGTCATCAAAAACAGAGGTCTGTGATATAATGCTGGAACCCTCCACATCACAATATCACACTAATAACTAATATTCTTTGGATATGCTTATGTGAGCTAGAAGTTGCAAAAATGTGTCACTATTCACATTTTCTATCTTAGTATAAAAAGGCACCCCAAGATACTGTTAAGAGCCTTGCTGAAATTCAGATACATTACATATTTTCCTAAACTGCCAGCCCAGAAAACTTATATCAAAAAAATAATGTTAGTATAACATGGTTGGGCTAGTGAAATTGTGATGGCTCCAGATGACAACTAGCCCAGCATTTGCTATGGACAGACCAGGGATGGAAGCAGAACCTGGAAACCTCTTAGGGGAACTTGACCTAGTCCAGCTGATGAACCAGTTCACACAACAGCAACTTCTCAGAGGTTGTAGTAGTGGGTGGTCCAAAATCAAATGAAGCACCAAAGAGATAACATGGATTTAAAATTCTATCACTCTGATACTTTCTAAAGGAAAATATTTATTTAACATCAATTTTTGACTTTGGGTAAAAGGAGACTCATGCCACATAGAATGGTCCAAAATCCCTTTTTAATCTTTTTCTGAATATTGATACAGTATTTGTTCATTCTTTTAAAATCATTTGGAACCTATTTTAATTCCCATTATTTCTCACTAATTCTAGGCCTGATCTAGCTTTTAACTCTGATATCAGATCTGTACCTATTTTCAGTAAACTAGGGGTTCATTCACTAATGATAGGCACTAAAATTCAGTATATAGAAAAGATTAAAAATCTATCTGTGCCACACTTATTTTCCTCCTAATGATACTATGCAGCTTTTAACTAATGAATGTTTTTATTAAGGAAGTTTGTCAATAAATGAATAATCACATGTAGACATCATTGAGTGGGTTTGATCAGTTTCTTACACTTGTCCTTATTTTGAAGATTCAACCTTGAGGAAAATAAATTTTCTCCCTCTGCTCTCTTGAGAGCTGATATTACTGTCCATTTCAAATGTCAGCCTTTGCATGCGTGATTATGAAATGTAACAAAACTACCATACACTAAGACAGGATCTCTTGGAGATATTAATTCCATGAAAATTTCATCTGTCACTATGATAAATATTTTCAATGTCTTTATTCTCAACTTCCAAATACTACTCAAATTGTCTTTGAAAATACAACAGTTTAACACATTCTTTGGATTTGCTCCTAAATATTACGTGTGTGCTTGGTTAATTAGAATATGATGTAATGGGGTAAGAGCCATTGGTTCAATGGCAGTATGGCTTAGTTATTTTTGCTTCTTATGGCCATCTGTTTCTTACTTTTGAATAAATAATGACAAAAAAAATTGAAAGGATATCAGTGGATTAGGAAAAAAATTCCCACATTAGTGCTGTAAAATTTTTTTTAAAAAGATGGCCTTCTGAGAATGAATGTGCAACAAGCTTTTTAACAATAAAGACAACATATTTTTTAATGAAGTGATGTCTGTAAAAGTGACATATGTGTGTTATTGTATATATTTTCCATTTGTATGCATGACCACCTATAATGCTTTGTGAAAATATTATAATTCATGTTTTATAGGTAATATATTTGACCTATATGTGAACAGCACCAATTCTATTATCAGCAGAGATTTTTTTTTTCTAAGTGCATTGCACTTAGCAGATAAATGGTTAAATTAAAATAGCAGCTGCTAGTTTGCCTGTGGTTAGGTGACGAGGGAAAGCTGGTCAGGGCTGATTTCTTTGTCACCTCCTTCTCTTCAAGTCTTAGTTCTGTATTATCTGTTGATGTACATAGAGACAAACCCGTTAGCTTCTTGTGCCTTAGTTCCATTATCTATAAAATGAGGCCATTAGGTTAGATAATCGTAAAGTCACTTGCTAGCACTAGTATTCTCTGGTCCCATTTCTTAAGAAATCCTGCCTTAGTTTAGCTGAAGCGTTTAGTGTACAAAAACTAAGAAATGAGTGGAAGAGAAATCCACACTTAAACAATAACTTTCTACCTTTTTGAACACTACCTCTATTCATCTTCCTCACACAATCCCAAATTCAGTCTTACAAGGAGGAATATGGATTACTGAAGAAGAAATATTAGAAGAACTCTATGAAAATTATAGCATCTGACTGCTGCAAAATGAGGAATAAACTCACAGATCCTTTGTATATTTCCACTGGGATCTTAACATTATTAGACAGTTACAGAGTTGGAGGATCAAGGACAAGAAGGATCTAGGTATCATCAGCTAAAATTCTACCCAGGTATTTTTATCATAATGAAAATCTCAAACATAAATACAGAAATTCTGTGTATAAACATAAAATATTTTTCTATAGAAAACCACACAAGTTATATGCACATATGATACAATCAAATGTATGGTATTTATTGCAAAACATTGAAATATTGTATATAAGATTGTCAAAGTCCTACCATTTGAATCATATGCAGCTTTTCTATTTGGAAATATCTTTATATTATCTCCGCCCATATTCATATGGGGATGAATATGCTTCATGTGATATGAATCAAAAAAGAAAGCTTTGAGAGCTGAAACAAAATCATGAAAATAATAAATTCTCTGAAATTAGTTTATTCAATGTATTTATTTAGTTAGAAACAATTTCATCCATCATTGTTATATTTCAACTTCTTAATTATGGCAGGTAGAATGAACATATTCTGAACATGATGTTTGGACATTATAATTTGTATTTAAAAATCTGATTCAAGTTTATTTGTTTGATTTCACTATAGCATTCATGGTTTAATTCTATCTTTATTGAATAAAATAAAAGAAAATATGTATGTACACAAAGAAGCTATAAATCATAATTACTAAAGCAGACAAGCAATTACAATGTATTAGAGGATGATATCTACAATATAATTTATTATATACAGAGTGATTGACTTAAATTCTTGAGTAATAATTTCCTTACCTGGTGCATTTTCACCTTTTTCATGCAGGAACATCATAGAAATTTAGGCTCCTATATATGGTCACAATGCTTGCTACCTTAATTTTGAGTAACTGGTGAATCCCGATGAGTTAATGATTTTTGTATATCTATAGGTGCACAGCAGGATAACAACCAGAAATATAGTAGGGGTGTATATGCAATGATTACTGCAGAAAGTGTACTTTGTTTCCTCAGAACAACTTTACAGGCAGCCTCAATTTGATCCAGATTCTTAATGTGTTAAGTATGAGATTTGATAAAGCAGGAAACATTCCAATTTGCTATGCTAATTATATTATCGAAAGGCAAAGGATTCCTAATGAGAAATTTAAATATACTACATTAAGGACAAAGATATACGCCCAAAGGATTTCAACATTAAAAATAAACATCTTCAATGTTCAACATTAGAAAAATAGGGAATGGTTACATAAAATATGATCTATCCATAGACTATTGCAGAGACACTAAAAATTATGCTCATGGTATGGTTTTAGAAGTCAGGATGGTATAATCTTCACAGGGCAGGGAGTGGCTGCCAGGGGGATGAGGGGTCTTCTGGGGTGCTGTTTATACAGACGTGTTCACTTTGTGAAAATTTGTCAAGTTATATTCATTTGACATGTGCACTTTTCTGTTATAATTTAAAAAAAATTAAACTTAAAAAAATGAAATATACTACATCCAGAAAATCTGTCTGTACTATGTTCGGTCAAGACAGATCCTACCAAGTCATGAGATGACAAGGGAGTAATGGTCTTTGAGTATTTAAATGCTAAACAGTTCAGAGATAGAAAAAGGTGGAGGCTATAAGTAGGTGGCAAATTTTAGGCACTCAGCCTTTTTATTCACACTTCATTCATAACTACTCTTGTGATATGCATCATCATTCATGCCTACATTGATAAAACTGCCAGTTTAATTAACAATATTTTAAAGACTTTTCTTCTCTTTTGAGAGTGGCCTGTTTGGAAAACTCCATTGCTTTGAAATTGACCTTGGCTTCTTACCTATATCACTTGAATTAGTATCAAACTGAGTGGTCTTTTGAAAGTTCTGAGATAGCCTTAAGGTAGCTTGTTCCACAGCATGTATCAGTTTTGTAAGATGAGTTCTTCTATGGTTTGTAGATAACTTGTCCCAAACTATAAATGTATCCTTTTGAACAAAATTATTCACAGTTTTTACAAATTCCTGTTGAAAAAAAAGTGTATCTTTTAAAAATGTTGGACTTTTACATTAATCACAAATGTAAGGAAAATTTTAAGCCTCAATTATATTGAGTTAAAGCTCAACATACTTACAGTCAGAGTTGAATTAGAAAGGGTGTCCTTGGCTGAATTTGTGCTATTCATATAACCCAGTAATGGGGATGATTCAGCTAATATTTCTATGTATGTAATTATATCCGTCGGTGAAAGATCTTTCACAGAATTTCTATAGACTTCTTGTAGCAAAGCCACAGGTTCTTCTATGTGCCTAATCTGAACAAAAATGAGTCCAGAGAAAGGAAACCAGTTTAAAGCACTACTAGATCTTTTCAAGAATAAATGTTGCATGATAAATATGTTGTTTTTTTTTCTCTTATACATTAAGTTATCAGATTACACCTAAACCATAACACAAAGCAATGAAACCTGAAATTATTTACAAAGGATTAGCAAATAGCTTAAAAGGCATAGAATTTACTTCAGAAAGGCAATACATGTTTGAATTTATCATTTTAAAGTTAATTAAAATAAATTATAACTTAATTTGAATTAGATTTTAATTAACCAGAGAAATTTTTTTACATGATAAAATGGCAATTTGCTTTTACCTCATTGTTAATGAGTCATGTGAGACTCACACTTCTAATCTCAGGACACTAATTTTATGAATGTCCTACTTTGTTTACTCTTTAAAATAATATTTACTTTGGTGTACAAAATCTAGTTGCATTCAGCTATGTCTCCTTAGAATTTGAAAATGGCCTGGGGTCAAAGTGTGTTTTTACTATTTTATCCATCCAAGTTCTTTACATGCTGAAAATAACTTTCCAGTCTACCGAATAGTGAAAAAGTAACTTAAATTAAATATATAAGTCTTCTCCAGTACGTTGGGGATTTTCAAATTAATCCTATCAAGTACTTAGATCTCTATATGTAAACAGTTTCAACTCTACATGAAGACCAACTGCTTGTTACTCCTTTAAAATAAGTGACTTTGGAGTGCTCACTTCGGCAGCACATATACTAAAAATTGGAACGATACAGAGAAGATTAGCATGGCCCCTGTGCGAGGATGACACACAAATTCGTGAAGCGTTCCATATTTTATTAAAAAAATAAAAATAAATAAAAGAAGTGACTTTGGAAAGATTTAAACTGAAACCAAAATGTCAAAATAGAGCGTATTTTTAATTCAATACCTTTACTCACTTTTGTTAAAGTTTTATTAATATTCGCCGCAATACAGATATTATCTAAATGGCAGTCTGGATTCACAATTTCTGTAGAAAAAAAGATTATATATTAAGTCTTAAAAAATATTTTTCCTAAGATAATTATATTGATTCCAGTGATTTTGCTCACCTATTTAGACATTAAAAACATTCTTATCACTTGTTTCATTTTTGTTTATTTTATTCATGAAAATTCATTTATTTAAAAAAAATTTCATTATTCATTTAAAAATTTTATTCATAATAAAAATTCATTTATTTTTATTCATTAAAATGCAATATTTTATGGAAAATAGAAAATTGTAGTTACCCTAAGGAAACAGGGTATGGTAATTACATAAAACATGTGGTATACATCTTCCATTAAATAAAACTAACTTTTCTTATTCCATTTTATAGATAAAGGACTACTAGCACATTTCTTGGAAGATGTAGGTCTTTGATACTTTACAACCGTGTAGTACATATTTTATATAGTGCTTTGATAATACATAAAATTTAATAATATAATTTACCTTGGCAATAAGTGCCATCATTAGGTGTGAACTGTGAGTTTCCTGTGGATGTATGATAACCTTCCTTGCAGGAGCAGTTATATCCACCATCCACATTTTCACACATTGCATGATCTCCACAGGCAAATGATTCATTGCATTCATCTATATCTGGGAATATGAAAAATTAAAATTTTAATTTAGTGCTCATATAGTTGCTACCTTGTTGATAATAGTATTACATACAGTTAGTGATTTCATATCGAATTTTACAAGAAAGCAAGAAAAATTCCATCATTTGGAAAATGACAGAGCAAACTTAGCTGCATATATATATATATATATATATATATA